TCAAGTGCCGCTTCCACCGCACCCACTCCCACGGCCACGGCCAGGGCCAGGGAAGTCGCCCTTCTTTGCCCCCTTCACCGGCCGCGGCACCCGGCCTCGCCGTCCTTGTCCTCCGACACCGTCGCGACCCAGTGACGCAGCCCAAGCATCGGCCTCGAGAATCAAGAACGCTCGACAACGGAGAGAAAAGGGAAGATCATATACATGTCATAAGAAAGGGAGTTTATTTACTGCTCCCTCGATGTATTGTTTCCTTTGTTTGGAGATTGATTACCATCCATGAGTTAACTTAAGGTTAATGTGATTGAGCGATTTTTTTGAAAATCAATTATTTGTTTTCTAATTAATGTGATTGAGTGATTTAAGGTAAGGTTAATTAATTCAGATTTGATCTTTAGAGATTGTTCATGATTGATTCTACATTACTAAATAACTTGCGCCAGTATGGAAAGTTCTGATCTGTTCAGATTTCTTTCGTTGTGTGAGAGGGTGACGCAAAAATAAACTGATGAAGTAGGGGGAGGGGATGAAAAAAATCTACGGAAAAAAACCAGGAAAGGTGGGAGGAGGTATAAAAAACCATGGGAGGTGGGACGAAAAAAAACCTGGAAGCGAGACTACCAACTGCTCCATTAGGAGTAGAGACTAGTATCATGATATTAGTGTATGATATTACCTCCATAGTGCATAGTATCATAAAGTAGTATCATAGATGATCATATTTATTGTCATGCATGACACAAAGTAGCATAACATTTAATATGATACGGTATCTACCTATGTTACTCTAACCCTCACTCACTTCTTTAATTGTGTGCCACATAAGCATGTTTGCTAGTCCCAAGTGCATGTTACCGGTTATGTTACCCCACTATGACCAGCCTTAAGAGCAACTCCAATGGGGCGAACCATTTCGTCTGCCGCCGTCCGTTCGGGTCGGCGCGGACAGAAAAGTCGGCCCAACGCGCCGACCCAAACGGACGCGCGTCTGCTTTCGATCGCCTGCCGACCCATTCCCGGCCCATTTTTGAGCCGGATTTGCGTCGGCGCGGACACAAGACGGACGCGCGCGCTCTCGCCCTCTCTCCTCCCCGGACCCGCTGGTCGGTGGCACATTGGCCTCTCCACATCAAACAATACACCCTCACCCGCCTGCTTCGTCACCGACGCCGCCGGCCATTTTTTCCGATAAAAAAGGATACATAGATAGTTGAGAGAATTCCTTATTTAACACTGTCTAAAAAATTTGTTCCTTATTTGACACTGAAAAATTATTTCGTCCCTATCTAACACAACCTTTAAATTTTATTCTCAATATAACACTTCCATCCATTTTTTGTGCAAATAGTGTTAAATGGCACGTGAAATGACAATTCTGCCCTCAGACATCTATTCAATCATTTTCTTTATATTAGACTTAGGTTTTCTAGTTCCAATCAAGTCTTTCGTAGTGCATAGACGTGTATATAAGCACCGTCAAGACTGCTTTGTACAACAGAAAAGAAGATTGAGAAGTGTAAAAAAATGCAGGAGCGACATGACCAACAAATCTCTTCGACCTGTTTGTTCTATTCGCCAAGCTAACACAGGCAAAGCAAGACTCAACGCTAAGTACGTACGTACATACGCGGCTACAGACAAGCACGTTCTGCTTCTAGGGAAAAATTAATCAAGCTGCATGTATTTCTGAGCTAGCATTGCACGTACGTGCGCTGGTTGGGTGAATCGACTTGGCATTTTAAAACTGACACTTCACCACGGGCTCAAGCAACACTGGTCCGCTCCTGTCCGCTGCGCCTTCGCCGTTCCCACCACACCCTGTCTTAAGAAGTTTTCCAGCCAAAACCAGGGGTAAATTTGTCATTTCACGTGTCATAGGTCAGAAAATAAACGAAAGTGTCATATCTCTACTACCTAAAAAAACGGAAGGTTCCGTTTCCCGTCTTACGTCGCGAGCGGCGACGATCTTCGTCCAGCCTTCGCTCGTCGCGCTCGTTCTGTTATCCGGGTTGCCAGCGTGCGCAGGCCCAGAAAGGCCCGAGACAAAGGCCCGTGCGTCTCTCGCCCGTCGTCGACCTCTTTTTCCCCACGCCTACATTCACCGCGTCCGAAATTATAGGGATGCAGTCCCCCAATCCGATCTGATTTGACGCTGTCGCTCCCATCTTCGTCATGGGCGCTGCCTCCTCGTCCTAAGCACAGCAGCCACACATACCCATCTCTTCTCCCTTGAAGCTTCCACAGGCCCCCCTCCCGCCCTCCTCCGTCCCAGCAACTCTCTCCGCCGGGTGCACATCGGTGAGGCCATGCTCCCTCTCTTTGCAATGATGGGATTGACGTGGTGAACGAGCAGAGATGAGCATGCGTGCTCCCCCAGTCGAGCCGCCCCGCCTCCAAGCGGTGCCCTAGACGAGGGCGTCTCCCCGCGCGCCTTCGTGCTGCCATCGGCAGCGCTGAACGAGGATGTCGTCCTGCTCCTTCCCTCTATACCTTGACGGGGTGCTGGTGTCCTTGACTCCTTTGCTCGTGCACGACGAGCGAAGGCTAGGGGACGTAGGGATAGTGGGCGGTGTTGGAGTGGGTATTGGCAAGGGAGACAGGGCGCCGCTGGGGCAGAAGAGCACGATGCTGTAGCGGGCCAAGAGCGCCGCGGCGATGGAGACCGATGAGAGATAAGAGACAGATTCATTTGGCTACACTGACGTGTTGTTACGTCCAACTACTACTGCTAGCAAGGAGTGAGAGAGAGATGAGACGACATTTTCTATGCTTATTTGCTCGATGAGAGAGAGATTCTTTTGGCTACACTGACGTGTTGTTATGTCCAACTACTACAGATAAGATAGTTTAGGAAGTGCAAGTGCCCAATGATAGAAGCTGAATATGAGGTGCTGTTATCCAAGGAAAATAAAGTGTGTGTATGACAGGTGGTTGAGGGAGGGGGATTGTAAGCCGGATGCCGCCATTGACAGAAATGATGAGTCTGAATTAGAAAGGCCGGGACATGAAGGAAATAAGAAGAGAAGAGTAGTGCCTCATGATTGTTGTTAAACCATTATAATAGTATGTCCCGTTGCAATGCACGGGCATTTACCTAGTTAGGAACAAAATTTAAAGTTGGTGTTAGATAGAGAAGACATTTTTCTTCAGTGTTAAATAGGGAAACGGAATTTAAAATAGTGTTAAATAAGAAATTCTTTCTAGATAGTTCTAGCGTACATAGATAAAAGAAAAGACCAACTACTCGTCGCTTTCCGACTCCGATTCGGTAATGTCCTCCTCCAACGTCTGAATGTAGGCGTCAGCATACTGCTCGTCTTCGAAGTCCCAACCCGACGTTTCTCGTAGCTTCAGTTTTAATTGAGCGGCCTGCTTCCACGCACGCTTGTCCTTTCGATAGCCAGCTCGCTCCGTCCTTCTCGCGTCCCTCTCCGTCCTCCTTTGCTTGTAGAACTAGCGCTCGTCAACGACGTCCTGCGGGAAGCGTTCGCGCCACCCCAGCATGGCTTCCACGTCCATCTCGGCGATGGCGAAGCGACGCTGCCGCCTCCAGTGGACACGACGATCCTCGTCGGTGAAAAGCCGCGGGAGAGGCGCGAGATCCTGCGCCCGCTGGCTCGACACATCAGGAAAATTCATATCCCGACGAGGCCTAAGGAGGCGCCACGCCGCCGCATCGTGCGCATGGGCTGCCTCCTCTGCGGTGTCGAAGGTGCCGAGAATGAGGCGTTTCTCGCCAAACCAGATCTCAGATGAGAAGGCGCCGGAGCGGCGCTCGCGGACTCTGCGAAAATCGGAAGCGCCCAGGCGGCGCATTGACATGGTGACGCAGAGGCGGCGAGGCTAGTGAGAGGGGGCGAGATGAGTGGGCGGCGGACAGTGTGGAGGGAGCGCCTTCTTATGACCAGCGCCGGCCATGGCGCGCGCGCGAAGCTTTCCCGCGCACTGGAGCACCAAAACGCGCGCTAGGCCGCTTTTCCCCGCGCGCGGTCATGAAATAGGTCGGCCCATTGGGCGCACTGCCGACCCAATCTAAAAGAGGGCGGACGGCGGGCGGGCAGCCGACCCAAACGGATAAAAAGTTTATCCGTTTGGGTCGGCCCGTTGAAGTTGCTCTAACAGCCGGCTGTAGCACGTGCTCCTAAAAACTTTGTGAGGCTGGTCATAGTGGAGAGTAACTTAGACTCCGTGGGTAGTGTCATAGGTGTGGTAACATAGTTGCCTTCATTTATTACTTTGTAGACTCATTATGCATTGGAAACCGCTATGTGATGGTAACATATTATGTTACTCTATTTGCCTCTCTCCTCATTAACTACTTGCCACATCACCAATTTTGCTTATGTGGCATCTATGTTACTACCTATGTTACTCCCACTATGACCAGCCTGAGAGAACAAGATGGGTCATGTAACAACAAAGTAGTACATATTAATATTCAGCTATTGTATTTGTCGGCTATAAACTTAGCTATATGTGACGTGGCAACATCATATAGCCAGCAGTCGGCTATATTATTAACCATGCTCTCACACCGACGACACAATTTGGGAGACAGGCATTCAGAACACAGTACTACCTTCGTGAATGTGACCTCGTACGCAGCTGGAGCACCACAGAGCTGCACCACGTTAAATGTGACCTCGTATCATCATGGATGTTGCCGCTCAGCGCTGCTGCTAACCACCCCTCCTCTCCACCTCTCTTTCTAGTTTCCAGTGAGCAGGTGCACCTGGAGCGGCCATGGCGACCGCGGAGCAGCGCCAGCGTCACGCCGTGTTCTTCCCTTTCCCGGCGCAGGGCCATGTGAAGCGGCGCTCGGCCTGGCCCAGCTCCTCCACCGTTGCCATGGCTTCCAGGTCACCTTCGTCCACACTGAGCACAACCGCCGCCGCCTCCTCCGGTCGCGCGGCCCCGGCGCTCTCGCGGGGGTCCCCGGGTTCCGCTTCGCCGCCGTCCCGAACGGCCTGCCCCCGTCCGAGGCGGACGCGTCGCAGGACATGGGCGCCCTGCTGTCCACCACGGAGGCCCTGGTCCCGCACTTCAGGAGCCTCGTCTCCGGCCTGCTCCCGCCCGCATCCTGCGTCATCTCCGACGTTGAGCACGTCCTGCATGCGTCCAAGAAGATGGGCCTTCGCTGCGTCACCTTCTGGACGACGAGCGCGTTCGCCTTCATGGCGTCCCAGCAATTGCAGCGGCTCGTGGATGCGGGCATTGTCCCCCTCAAAGGTACATACATGCATCGATCGATTGTTTTTGCTACGGAAAAAGGCCTTACAAATTGAGTGTGATGTGCTTGCCTTGAGAACCAGAGGCTGAGCAGCTGAGGAATGGATACCTGGACGACACGGTTGTGGACTGGGTGCCGGGGATGCCCAGCGACATCCGCCTCAGAGACTTCCCGAGCTTCATCCGCACCACGGACCCCGACGACGCCATACTCAAAATCATCCTGAACGCAATGGCGTGCCACAGGACCACTCCGTCCGCCATCATCTTCCACACCTTCGACGAGATCGACCGCGAGGCCATGGCGGCCATGTCCACCATCCTGCCACCGACCTACGCCGTCGGGCCACTGCCGCTCCTCCTCGGCCAAGTCTCTGGCGGCGGCGTGGTCGACACACTAGAATCAAACTTGTCAAGGGTGAACCACGCCTCCCTAGAGTGGCTGGAGGGCAAGCGGCCAGACTCGGTGCTGTACGTGAGCTTCGGGAGCATAGCGACGCTCACGAGCAGCCAGCTGGTGGAGTTCGCGTGGGGTCTGGCCAACAGCAAGAAGGACTTCCTGTGGGTGATCAGAGACGATCTAGTGAGCGACGGCGACGGCCCTGCCGCCGCCGTGCTGCCACCGGAGTTCCTGGAGGAGACGAAGGCGAGGAGCCACGTGACGAGCTGGTGCCCGCAGGAGGCGGTGCTCCGGCACGAGGCCACGGGCGCGTTCCTGACGCAGTGCGGGTGGAACTCCGTCCTGGAGAGCCTCAGCGCCGGGGTGCCCATGCTGTGCTGGCCCTTCGGCGCCGACCAGTACACGAACGCGAGGTACGTCTGCTCCGAGTGGCGCGTCGGCGTGGAGATCGGCGGCGATGTCAAGAGGGGCGAGGTGGAGGCGGCCGTCAAGGAGGTGATGGGAGGAGACGGGGGAAAGGAGATGAAGAGAATGGCCATGGAATGGAAGGAGAAGGCTGCCATGGCTGCACTGCCTGGTGGGCCATCTTGGGTAAATCTGGAGAAGGTGGTTAATGAGGTGCTTGCTGTGCAACCTAGCAAGATCAGTGATACTACGGGATTATGAGCAGGCTCGTGCCTGGTCTACACCGGCAATAAGTTCGATGAAAGGGGAGCATGCCATGGCTGTGCTTTCGATTCATCTTTCTCCAAGATTAATCTCTTTGTCGAAACTTAATGGGTTAGGTGATCCATTATGTAGTAAGTACAATAGTGATCACCCAACTACACTCTTCAATGTAGCATGATTCATTTGGTATTTGAAAGACCGAGCCGGCATATCATCTTGAAATTTACGAAGTCACCATAGGCACCTCGTCATTGACGGGAACGTCTCCTTCCACTGAATGCACATCGCCGAAAATCCTGAAATAAATACAGGAATAAATGCGAGCACCAGGATTTGAACCCTGATGGGCTGAGGATACCATAGTCCTTCTAACCATCCAACCACAGGTTGGTTCGCGACTTCGATGTCTAGTAGAGTAAGCATATAACCTTAAAGACTGGTATTTTCATATTTTATGGAATAGAATATGATCAAGTATTGTACTCGTATAAAAAGTTTGGCCAAAAAATGATTCTTTTTGACTTCATGCAAAAAAATAAAACAAATTTATGACGTGAATAGTACTTGTATATAGCGTCTTGATTTATTTATTTTCTTACCAGAATACCATGAAAGTCATTCCTTAGCGGATCTTTTTATACGAATACAATACTTGATCATGTTTGATTCCAAAATGATTAACTTTTTTTACAAATCATTATTCGCATATAGGGTGCACATGAGACAAATTGAAGGTATGGAACAGCCAGAAAGTAAATTTGATCCTTTAGTTTAGTATAATCTTCTTTGTTTTTAAAATGGCACCCAGGTTCATTTCTCCCGACCTTCATTACTTCGTTAGTTCAATCAAATGAACTAAACAAGGTGATGCGATTTGTGTATTTTAATTTATTTGGTTGAACTAAAGGTTCGGAGGGCACCCTAGAGGCCTAGAGGTTACACATTTGCATCCCCGGTCGTCTGTCGCTCCTTAAGAAGCGCCAAGACATGACAACACTCCTCTGCCATCAAAGATGGGGCTTTGCTGCTACTATACACATCTCTATTTTATAAGCTTTCTTGCGGTATCAAACTAAATCGCAGCAGGATACAGATGTCTTCACTTTATAAGGATGCATCTGATCGGCGAACCTTCCGCTCCACGCAACCGAAGTGGCAGGCAATGCAACGAGTATATCCCAGGTATGACATTCTCCAGTTTGAGGCCCTCCACAAGAATGATATCCTGAATGGAACCAAAGAACAGCAAAATATCAGGTATATGGTGTTTTATCCGTCTCGAGAAATCAACTGTAGGATGCCTAGCGTGTTGGCTAGTGCCAAGTACCCGCATGGAGTAATACTCCATATGAAAGAACACAGGTACAAAGATTCTAGCTGGCCTCTTCGAAACTTGTTTGATCAATGTGAGCCAACGGGCATATTGAGAGGCCACAGTTTTTTTTGTCACTGACCCCAAATTTAGAAGCTCAACCAGGAATATTAACGGTCCTAATCCATCGAGGGTAGGGAAGAGGAGTGTCATCTAGGGAAGTACTCCTAGTAACATAGAAGGACCTCCTTCAGCGAATCATTAATCACGCCGCTCTTGGTAAGGACTACACTACTTTCGTGGATCAATATCGACAATACGGCTCAAATATTCTTCATTTTACTAGTGAACATCCGATTCTTTGTTTAAAGTTACTGTTGGAGACTGTTTGTTCAGATTACTGGAAACACAAGGAAAATGAAGTTCGGAGCACAGGGCAAAAACAGAAGGTACAATAAGAAAAGAGAGAAAAGAACGTAAACATAATCAAATACAGTAAATATGAACGAAACAAAATTACTCCAAAGAAGTATCTTCGTACCCGGTTTTCGAGAAAAACTAAATGCGAAGGGATCAAGTCATCGAAAGCTGCAACGGACAAATAGTCTATTCCTGCAAAAACATGACAACAAAAGTTAAATATTATTTTTGAGAATAAAAGTGAAGAGATAAATATAAATAGAAGAGTTAATGCAGGACAAATCATTTAACCTGTCCAAGATGTAGAAGTTTGTACTTAAGGGCTGATGCGTAAGGAGCAACTAACAGGAACACATATGGAAAAAAGGAATTGGATGGAGCAGAAGGAATACAATGATAATGAGACCATGGTCCAGGGGCTATAGAATGACAGAGTGCATGGTGTGTGGGGCACTGGATGCGTCAAAACATGACACTTCCAATCCAGGTATGCAAAATGCTAATGGTGCAAACAGAAACCACTATATTTCAGACCAATGACACACACATGCAGACCCACATAGTTGCATACAGAACTAAGTAAAATATTATAGTGTCATAGATACAATGAAGGACCTTGTAAAAGGATGCAAAGCTCGTTGGAACTCACCGACAAGCTTAATATCCGTGTTGTCTACCAACCATTGGGCACCATCTTTCATAAAACCCACATAGCTTGTGTCAAACTCTTTCTTCCACATTAGGTTCCTACATGCCAACAGTTTCACTGAATTCACTTTCCCAACTTATCACATTCCGCTCTACAGTTCGGCATAGTAAAGCACTTGGTGCAGTAATTTAATTCAAGAAATTGCATAATGGATTAAAATAGAGGATACAAGATGTTCTATAGAGAAAACTATTGAGGGGTTGTACGAATCCAAAAGCACATGATTAGGACGAAGGAAGCCAGATATAGGGAAAAATTCTTGGTTCTGCTGGTTTGCTCATTCATTTACATATTCCCAGATTGATTAAGGTGGGCCCTGAAAATACACGCCAAGGCATCGGTCAATGAATATTATGCACTTT